AACGTATTGCATTAGGCAAATCTGCTGCACAAGACCGGTTTAAAGTGCTCAAGAGCAAAGACAGCAGTTTGAGGACCCCTGTATAAGGTGCGCCTGACCCAAGCCATGGTATTTTCAACAACTTCATATGGCTGTGAAAGCTGGACAGTGAATAAGGAAGACTGCAGAAGAATTGATACATTTGAGTTAAGGTGTTGGAGGAGAATATTGAAACTGCCATGGACTGCCAAAAGAACAAACAGATCTGTGTTAGAAGAAGTGTAGCCAGAGAGCTCCTTAGAAGCCAGGATGACCAGATTTCGTCTCTCATATTTCGGACATGTTATCAGGAGGGACCAATCCCTAGAAAAGGACACCATGCCTGGTAAAGTGGAGGATCTGTGAAACAGAGAAAGACTCACGCAACAAGATGGATTGGCACAGTGGCAGACGCAATGGGCTTAAGCGTAGCACCGATTATGAAGTTGGTGCGAGATTGGATGCTATTTCGTTCTGCTGTGCATAAGGTCACTATGAGTCAGTACTGACTTGATGGCACCTAACAACAACAACATAGATTAAGACACGTGGATATTGAAGTTATAATGAGAGCAAGGAGGTGGTTAGTGCATAATTCAGGATTTTAAAGAACAAAAAACAAAATAGAAGTTGCAGAGTTGATTTAAATTCACAGTGTGCTGTGTGTGTCAGGATTAGAATTGTGCCCCACAGGGTTTTCTATGGCTGATTTTTTTGAAGCAGATCCTCAGCCATTTCTTCCAAGGTGCCTATGGGTGAACTTGAACCAGTAGCTTTTAGATAGCACCTGAGTTTACATTAACATTTGCACTTCCCAGGAAATGAGCAGACAGGCTCATTTCCTCCTGAGAAAGCAGCTGGTGGGTTTGAGCCACTAACTTTGTGGTTAGCAGCCCAGTGCCTAACTCACAGAGCCACCAGGGCTCCAATAATTCAGGATAACTCATAGCAACTTTTTGTCCGGCTGTAAGTCTTTACGAGAAGAGAAAGCGCCTCTGGGAGTGGCTAGTGGATTCTAACTGCTAACTGTGGTTAGCAGTTCAGAATAATCTACTGTGCCTCCAGGGTTTCTTGATAATTTATTAGTGTGTTGTTAAATGCCGTCAAGTTGGTTCTGACTCATAGTGACCCCTGTATAGGGTTTCCAAGGAGTGAATAGAGGGTTTGAACCACTAACGTTGACCAGAATTCCAAAAATACAGATGGAAAGCTCACCATCTGTTCTGTAAGCCAAATAGAGAGTATAATATTTCTATTATTCTTTTTTAAAAAAACATTCACATAAAATCCCATACCCTTTTGAATGTACATTTCACAACAAAAATGTTTTAAATTATCTTCTGGACCCTTTCACAACTTGTATTTATAAACTCCTGTCCCAAAGACAATGTTGTGTTCTGTGAGACTAATTGCAGATAAGGGTGAGAGCTCATTAGACGGCATTTTGCGTTCCACGGAGACACATATATGAATCTCAAGGAAATTCATTTCAACCTTTAGCCTCTGAGGGAGGCTTTGCAAGCTACCGCGCGCAGGCGTGTGTGTTATCTAAGCCTGTAAGATTTAAATTCACTTGGGTGATCACTACAACTCCAAAAGTACTTTGCCACATAATCCAGACTTGAGCTTCTAAACCTTAGATAAGAATCTCAAAAATTAATTATTAAAATATGTGAGCAAATGACATAGCTATCTAAGAAATATTAACAGCATCCCTGGCAAAAGATTACCCTAACTCCTGATTATTGTAGTGGTGTTATTGAGTCATTTCACAAGTGCATATTGAGTACAGAGTACCAGGCACCGTGTTCTGTGTTGGAGATTCGGGAAAACAGAGTCGCTTCTTCCCTCTTGCAGCTCTGCCCGGTGGAGGAGAAAGACAGGTAAACTGTCTATTTCAATACAATGCAATGTATTGACACAATGTACAGACACAATGCCTTGGAAGCTTTAGTACAAGATACTTTAAGGATGTTCATGAGTCCTAGACAAATAGGAGAGGAGAAAGCCCTCACAAAGACCTGGAGGGATGTGAAGTAGTACATTGGGGGATGGCTAGATTATGTTTTCTGACTAACTCCTGCTATGTAGAAATTGGGAGGAGAGGATCAAAACATAGCCAGAGGCCAGATTCTCAGGTGCCTTGACAAATTGAGATGTTTGGAGTTTATCCGAAAGCTGGGAGAAGGCTTGGCAGGATTAGATTTGCATTTCAGAAGGATCTTTGCCCAAACATAGAGGATGGGCTAGGGACTGTGAGCCTTGTTGTTGTTAAGTGCCTGTTCTGACTCAGAGGGATCCTGTACAGGATTTCTAAGGAGCTGCTGATGGGCTTAAACCCATATCCACCTATAACCCTGCGGTTAGCAGTCCAGTGCTTATCCTGCAGAGCCACACCAGGACTCCCCAGGACCATTTGTTGTTGTTGTTTGGTGCCATTAAATTAGTACCAACTCATGGTGACCCTATTTACAACAGAAGAAACACCCAGGTGAAGAGCACTAAGGATTTGATCGAGGGTAGCACAGAACAGAGATGTTTTCCGTTAGGGTTTCTGCCCATTCCACCAGAATTCCAGTGGCTATGCTTTCAGATTTTGGGTGAGTGAAGGTGCACAAAGGTCTTGAGGAGCAGGTTAAAGTGATTCAACCAAAGAAACCAACATGATTAGGCACTGGGTCATTCATTCATACACACCTCCGTTTCTGTGTTAATTCAGCCAAAGCCTTAGAGAATATCTTGTTCTACGAGGAAAGTGAGATTTAAAGGTGAAGACCCAGGTACCTGAAGACTTAAGGAGAGTTAAGGGGAAGGAACTGGTGCTATGTAGTTTTATTTTAAAGGCAGGAAGAATGGTATTTCTAATGCTGTTACAGGTCCTCTAATCAGTTCCTACTCATAACAACCCTGCATAGGGTGTGTTTGAACCTGTTGGTCTTGTGGCTACTAGTTCAGTGCTTATCCTATAACACCACATCAGGGCTGGGAGGCCCAAATTCAGCCCACCAGTATTTCTTGCCTACCTCACTCACTATGCCAATCTCTGTTCTCGGAGCTGGGTAGATCAACAGAGACTAAAAGGGGGTCTCTAATGGAATTAATATTCTAGGAGTGGGGTGAGAAATGGATGCCCCACCCAAATGCACAAGGTACATGGGGAACAATGAGTTTGACTGGAGGGAGTTGGAGCATATAATTGCAGAATTAAGTCTAGTTAGTGAAGGTCCTCTGCTTGGTAAAAGGGCAACGTTGTTGTTGTTAAGTGCCGTCTCATCAGTTCTGACTCACAGTGACCCTCTACAGGGTTTCCAAGGAGCAGCTGGTGGGTTTGAACCGCCGACCTTGTGGTTAGTAGTCCAGTGCTGATTCTACAGCACCACACCGGGATGCCAGAAGGGCAATATTGTTGTTATTGTTAAGTGCTGTCCAGTCGGTTCTGACTCATAGTGGTTCAAACTGATCATGCAGTCTAGTGCTTATCCTACAGTGTCATACCAGGACTTCAAAAGGGCAGTGGGTGGGAGCCTTTAAAACATTTATTGGGGTACTGGCTGTCTCTTTGTTTTGGAGTTAAGGAGGCAGGGTTGTGACAAATGGTCTTCTTACAGTTAAGGAAGCAGCAGTCAAGAAACCACAAGGCAACTCTGCTGCACAAGACCTGTTAAAGTGGAAAAGAGCAGAGGTATCACTTTGAGGACCAAGGGACATCTGAGCCCAAGCCACGGCATTTTCAGTCACCTCACATGCGTGTTGGTTCAAGAATAAAGACTACCGAAAAAGAAAAGATGCATTTGAGTTATGGTGTTCGTGAAGAATATTCAAAGTACCGTGGACTTCCGGAAAACAAGCAAATCTGTGTTGGAAGAAGTACAGTCAGAATGCTCCTTGTAAGTCAGGATGGTGAGACCTAATCTCTCATACCTTGGACATGTTATCAGGAGTGACCAGTCCCTGAAGAAGGGTATCCTACTTGGTAAAGTGGACGGTCAGCGAAAAAGGGGAAGATCTCCAACAAAATGGGTTGACACAGTGACAGCGGTAACAACAATTGTGAGGATGGCATGGGACACGGTAGTGTTTCCTTCTGTTTCACAGGTATGGCTGTGAGTGACACCTAACAACAGGAATGCTATGTCACCTGCCCGAGGCTACACAGGTGCTAGAACCAGACAGGCATGTCTGCCAAGTGCCAAGCCCTTGCTCGCCGTCTTTCCGCCTTTTTCCCGCCGAGAAGAATCGGAAGGCGCTGTGCCGGGAGGTCTCCGGCGAAAAGGACGCTGCGCGCTCTGCGGAAAGGTCAGGGAGGCCCTGACCCGAAGCGAAACGGGTGTCGGGCAGAAGGGACCAGCTCTGGAGGGCCGACCAAGGCAAACCGGCTGTGCAGCCGACCGGAAGAGCACCCAGCGTAGTCCGGCCGCGAGCGCCTGCCGGGGACTGAGGCGGGGCTGCTCCGCACCGCCCACTCGCCAGCCAGTGGTTCGCTCCGAACACCCCTCGCCGCGCGGCGGGTGCCGTGTTCCGCCCCACTTCCGTTTGTTGTGGGGCCCAATATCCGGTGTCCGCCCGCCCTCGGCTCCGCCGCCGCCGCCTCCGCGATGCTGTCCCGGTCCCGTTGCGTGTCCCGGGCGTTCAGCCGTTCGCTCTCCGCCTTCCAAAAGGTACGGTCCGACCGAGCCAGGACACCAGGAGCCCGCTGACGGGCGGACGGGCGTCCTGGGGACAGGGGCGCGGCGCGACGGCCAGGCCGGACACCAAGGGCACCAGGACGCGGAGGCCTCGGGCTGTACTCCCCGGGGTCGCCGTCGCCCTCGGGACCGCCTTGCTGTGCCTGCGAAGCTCGTCACCCCTCGCCTTCCCATGATAGCCCGCGCCGATCGCCCCTTGTTGCACCCCACCCTCCGTTCCGGGCTCGGGAGCCACTGGGAGCTACGCCCGCCCCGACACGAGACTCGGAGTTCCGGCGGAGGCACCACGGAGACCCCCCCCTCCCCGGTGGAATCCGGGGTCGGTCTCCTCTCGAAAGTCAAGGGCCGTCAGCGCTGTTGGAACGTTGAGATAATTTGACAGGCCCAGTGTGCTGTGCTGTCTGACCCTTGAGCCCCGGGTGCTGCATTTTGGAGTCACGAGATTCACTTGTCACCAGCACTGGGGCAGCTTTTTAATTTAAAGGGAAAAAGCCGGCGCCCTGTTGGCGCAGTGGTTAAGCGCGTGGTTCCTAACCGAAACTCACCAGCTAAGCTACTCCACTGTAGAAAAATAAGATAGTCGGCGTCTGCTAGGAGTTACAGTTTTGGAAACCCCAGGGGGTAGTTTAACTGTGTCGTATAGGCCCACTATGTGTTGGTATCGACTTGATGGCGATGGTGGTGTGATTTTACCCCCCTCCCTCCTTTCATCTTGGGTGACATCGATAATGTCTTCTTTCTCAACAGGGGAACTGCCCTCTAGGGAGACGTTCCCTGCCTGGTAAGTTCTGCCCTTGCCCTGGCCATCACCTAAAATAAAATACTCTCCTCTTGGGCAGAGCAGTATGAGGAAAGTTGGGGTGGTTGTGTTTTTCTTCATAATGTTCCAAGACAATTAATGCACTTCTTGTAGGCATGAGGCACAATCTGAGTTAAAGTAGCTTAACCTTCTCAAATGTTTATCACTCGTTCAATGCATAGTCTGGCACTGTGTTAGGTACTAAATAGTGCTACAGCAGTGAGCAGTTTTTGAGCTCATGGAGTTTACAGTGAAGCGACAAAGACATGTAAAGTGCTAAGCGGACAAACAATCATACATTTTCGTAAGTGCTGAGAAGGAAACAAACGAGGTTGGACAGAGGAAGCCTCTCTGAGTAAGTGACATTAAAGCTGTGACCTAGAGAATGTGACAGAGCCAGTAAAGGAAAACAAGCGCGTATGAAATCTCTGGGGAGGGAAAGAGCTTGGCAATGTTCAGAAACTAGCAAAAAGGTGGCTTGACTGTCGGTTTTTGTTTCAGGGGAGATTGGCATGAGATAGAGCATGGTGTAGAGGCTTTGGGGAGGAGCTTAGAGTGGATGTAGGCCAGTAAGTTCTTGGGAAATCTTGATAATGTATTTGATATGGTTGAAGGTGGAGGGTCAGAGAAAAAGAGGAAGACCCCCCAAGGATATGGATTGGCCAAGTGGCAGCATCGATGGACTCAAGCAGGGCAACAGTAGTGAGGTTGGCCCAGGATCAGGCAGTGTTTCGTTCTGCTGTGCATAAGGTCGCTATGGGTCAGTACCAACTCGATGGCACCTAACAACAACAATTTTGTATTGTACTTTACCATAGATACTTGTCAAATGAGTGAATCTTGCCTTTCTGTGTGCCAAACATTGTTCTAAGTGCTTTCTCTGCGTTTTTCAGTTAATCCTCATAAAACAGTAAGAGAGATACTATCTCTGTTTTACAGATGAGTACCTGAAAGCTCAGAGAGGTTACCTACTTTGTCTAAGGTCACTCAGACAACTATTAGTCAGGTCAGGTCTGCCTGATTCCAAAGTTTGAACTCTTAATCACTGTATTATCATTTAGTCATCTAGTCAGCAGATATTTGTTGAGTAGCAAACACTGTGTTAAATGACAGGGATATGGATGACCTCTGTCCGCAGAGATCTTAGGGGCTAGCTGGAAAGACAGTATACTTTACATTTATGAACACATAAAGACATAATTATACCTATGACAGAAGAGAGTATAGGTGAAAGGGTGGCTGATGTAATCCAACTTGGAAGGGTGAGAGTGTGGTGGGATTATCAGTAAAGGCTTCCCTGGAAAAGTGACATCTAAGCTGAGCTTTCGAATACATAGGAGTTAGCCAAGAGCAATATTCCAGGCAAAGGGAATTACTTGTGCTGAGGTCTTCAGGCATTAAGGGGCATGACCAAACATAAAAGCAAGTCTGGCCAGCTGGAAAGATAGGTAGGGTTGGACGGGACAGAGGCAGGTAAAGATTTTGGACTTTACCCTGAGCTCATAGCGGATTCTCTATAATAAACATTCTTTTCAACTGGGGATTCTGAAAAGAGCCAGGAGACATTTTCTCCATTTTATAGGCTAGCAGGACAACAGGAAAGAGCTCATAGTTGGGGGTTTGCATCCTGGCTCAGGGCTTCTGTTTGGGCCCAGCTTCCAATGCCCTGTTTATATATGAGTAATGGTAGATGGTCGTTCCACTTCTGAGAGATGTTGTGAGACTCAAAATCTAAATGAGATCATTCTGTGAAAGCTTTTTAAGAACCTTAAAGTGCAAACGAAACTTGCCGTAGGATGAACTCTATATCCAACTCAGGTTTTCAAAACTGTGGACTGCTGGCTGTTCTAGTTCAAAGACATGATATGTTTGAGCTGTAGCCTGCTGTCACTGGCTTCCTGTCATAGACTGACTTGACTCTGAAATCTTGGGCCTGGCCTGTCTGTTTGTGAGGATGTGGACCCGAGCGGGTGTCTCCTATTTTGTACTTGGTTCAGAAAGAGTGGTTAAGGTCTGGAAAAATACAAAACTTACAGAAGGATCTCTATGAAAGTACCTGTAGCTATTAGTCATTAGTTTGAAGAGACAAGCAGTTACTTGTGATAAAGGTGGTGGGCAGAAAAGGTACCCACTTAGTTGAAAGTAACGAGGGTGGAAGATGTCCACGGAGCATGGGAAGGCAGTGCATTGAGAGGTGGGACAATGATTAGTCCTAGGACAAGTTGGAGGAAGACCCTGAACCTAAAGTAGGCCCTGTCTTTGCTACTAGGGTTCAGGCAGTCCAGTAACTGGGGATCCAGAAACCCAGACCAAACAGCCTCCTTGCTTCTCTAACTAGCGTATGCATAGTCCCAGGATAAACTGTCACATGTCTTTTTCAAGCTATGTTATTTCAAGTTTTATTGGAAGATTTGGAAGCATTTTTTTATAAAGGCATGTAGCAATAAAGCAAAGTGTATGCTAAAAATTTTAAGCTACGGATGATTCTAAAATTGTTTTGGGCTGTGGTCTCATATTCCCGCATTCCTCCCCAAACACATACTCCCTCTTAACTCCACATAACTATTGCCTTCTGCTAGTAAGACTCCATTAGTGGAAAAATATGAGAAACAGGGCTTTGTGTGCTCAAGATTCTATTGTGGTCTGCCGTGGATCCTGCTCTCAGACCTCTTTTCCATTCCCAGCAGGTACCTTTTATAAGATGAGGCTTGCTGGTTAAGAGTTGTTTTGTTTCTTGCAGGGGTCTCCTTATGTCAGGGACCAGAATACCCTGACAGCAGGAAGATTGTGTAAGTATCACTGGGGAGCACAGATATGTGAACATGGGATATGTATTAAGACACAGATTTGACCAAGTGGTTTTCTTCCCTAGCCTCTTGGCCTAGAAACCAAGGTAGTTAGTGGATAAACCTAATGTTGATCCTTTTTTATATGTAATGTACCAGGAACATGAGTCCAATGTCAAGGGCTGAACCAGGGGTGCCTGTCTTCTCGGATCTTTAGATTATTGTTGTTGTTGTTAAGTGCCGTTGAGTCGGTTCCGACCCATAGCAACCCTGTACAGGGTTTAGATTATAATAGATATTAAATTGGAACCCACTTGGATGGGTGCTGCTTAGCAGTATTCCAGCTGCATCCAGATGCACCTGAAGCACCGGAGTTTACATTACTGGTGGAAATTGAGAGCATCCTGTTAGTTGCAGAGTTAACGTATTTTAGAAGCAGGAAAAGTGAAAGTCTAGTCTGTTGATGTCTGAGACTGACTGGTTTGGAGGGAATGCTATTACTGCATAATGCACAGTCGGATTAACTTCAGTGTATGAGTGTTGCTCAGTGCTACTCTGGTTTAGTGTTTTTAGGGTACTAGAAAGAGGCTGCTCTCTAGTAACCTACTTTAAAAAAAAAAAAAAAAAAAAAGCCACCAAACAAGCTACTTTCTCTGCAGCAAGAGTCTTCAGAGGAGCTCCACCCTCATTGTGCACGTGAGAAAATTAATTCTGCACTTAGTGTAGAAGTATCATCAGCTGTGTTATTTTTGGAGGACAGTTTGGCAGTCAGATGTCTTTGAACTGTGTATACCATTTGATCTAGAAGTTGCCTTTCTAGGAATCTATACCAAATAATTCCTAATACATACAGATTTTGCTTAAAATGGCCAAATAAGGGATTGGTTAAACTATCCCTTGTTAGTATGCGCACACTATGATAAATAGAAAAAGACAAAATGATTCCATTTCATATTGTATGGTATAATCTAAAGTGTTCTTTTGTCTGTGTCTAAATACAGTAAACATATAATGCTTTTATAATTTAAGAAATGTTTAGAGGGCTACTTAAATATGCTTCTTCTCTGCTGTTTAAATGAAAATTGGAGAAACCACAAATCTCTGTGTAACAAATACTAAAAAAATAATGAAGTAAAATTTGAAGATAATGAAATTTTAGGGAAGGGCAAGTCATTGCTCATTTAATCACCTAATCAAATATGTTTTTATTTTGTGTTATTATATTTTTTTCTCTGAATAAGATACCAACTTTATTTTCCAAGTCTTTTACTGTAAAGCTTTTGTGAGTTGTATGTTTTTATTTAATAGGCGGACCATTTACATACTTCAAAAAGTAAAACTTGGCTATGAGAAGATTTTTTTGTCCTTGTCCTCTAGCTCCCCCAACTCCTCCTTCACAGAGGCAGTTAGTGCCGCAAGTCCTTAGGCATTTGCACCTTCCCTGTTCTTGCCATGGGCATGTGTTTCTACATGGTTACAAGTATTATGCAGAACAGTCTGTGCGTTGCACTATTTTCCTCATGACATACTGTTTTTCTTTGAGTCTGCATAAACTTAATAGTTACTTTCACTTTATAAAAGTAAAACTAGCAAATGGCAGCTTAAATCCATCTTGCTTTCCTATTATAAAGGTAACAAGTGCTTGTTTTAGAATATTTGAACAATATTAAAGTGTAAAAAGTGAAAGAGCTCATCAGTCCACAATCCCCTCCATGTCTCTCTATGTGTTCCTGTGTTCTTCAAACTCTTTGCTGCCCCCTCATCTATACAAGTATTGACATCTCTGATTCCCCAGAGGTAATAACCACTAGTTAATGGTTGTGTGCAAAATGGTGACACCATACCGGTAAGTGCCATATCAGAAAATACCTTGGCCTTTTGAAGTTGTCTTGAATGAATCTGGAATGGACTCTGGAATCGTATGCTATGTCCTAGCAAGAGAACAGAAAAGGAAATGTCATGATTTTTTCCCCCTTTCCTATAGCACTGTGTTTTACTTCCCTTCTCCATTAACTGCCTCACCTTGCTGCTTTGTGTGATCTCATTCTGTAATCACGAGGGCAGAAATTCCCTTGTACATGGCACAGTGGCGTGTACCTTGAGAGTACACAATATGTTTAATTTGGATTATACTTAAGAAAGAAACCTAGTCCTTTTGGTGGCTCTACAAAGGACTGGTTGCTTGCGTTGTTTTTCAGAGACCCAAATGTGTGCTCTGTTTTGTGAGAGCTGGCATTTCGCTACAGCGCTGTGTCCTGGGTTCACAGGAGAAGCTCACTGTTAAGCACCCAGTCACCCAGGCTCTACTCTAAACCTGCTGAGGCAGAACTCTGGGTGGGGCCTGGACATGTGTACACTGAGAAGGCTCCCCCAGATGGCCCTGATGAGTACCCGTAGTCAAGAATCCCAGAATTAAAGAGATGGTAACCCTTGGTGCCTTAGCTAGACTAAAATCTGAGTGGTTCACTGCAGAGAAGTTACCATTTCTGTTCTGTCTGGTTTTGCTTTTGTAGCATTAACAACAGTAGTTTCTTCGGCGTTCGTTTCTTCAGAACTACTTCCGTTTGCAGTAAGTATCTGCCTCCAGCTCCCTGCTTTTTGGGGAGTGGAGCTTTAATACTAAGAGCACCACTTTACTGAAATTAATTAAAGAAAGACGTTAAAAGGAAAAATTTGGACTACTTCTGGTTGTTTCTTTTCTAGAGGATGATGTAATTACAGTTAAAACCCCAGCGTTTGCAGAATCTGTCACAGAGGGGGATGTCAGGTGGGAGAAAGGTAAGGTTTGGTACCTTGTCACTTGTTAAGTTTCAGTATTTTATAAAAGTCCTCCCTCCTCTCAAGATAGTCAATGGATCGAATTGACTCCACTGTTTCCTATGTACAGGGCACTCTCTCCCAGCCTTGTAACAAAAGTGTCTTATAGAAGAAGTACTCCTGCCAAAAGGGGTTTGGTGACTGCTGCAGGCTTCACCCTAATAGGTGGTCTTTGTCTTTTCAGCCGTTGGAGACTCAGTTGCTGAAGATGAAGTGGTTTGTGAGATTGAAACTGACAAGGTAGGCTTGTCCTGTCTTTGAGGCAGCGGTTCTTCCTATTTAACCTAATGAAAGACACCTAGAACTTAACTGTTGTGTAAAGATAATTTTTGACTGGCTTTAGCTGTAGCCTGCGAAAGTGTTGGGATGGCTCCCTAAAAAGAAAACGGAAAACTTTAAATGTTTATAGATTGTTTGCATGTGTGTACTTTTGTAGTTTTAGTTTTACTTTAAAGTAACTTCCTTTGCATGAGCTGGTATCAGCTATTTGTCATGACTTGACAGCCATGAAGTGACAATTGCTTTCATGGTTTTGAGTAAGGGGATTTTCGCAATGGCAGTGCCATCACTCTTCTCTGAGCGTGTAAACTTAGGTATTGGGGTGCAGGGTCCTGCCATCCTTGTTCCAACTCTTGCAACTCATATTTGAGATTCTCCACTTCCTTTTCTAGTGCTGACTATAAGTTTGAACTTCTTCTCAACCTTCCTTTTGCAGACCTCCGTGCAGGTTCCATCCCCAGCACATGGCGTGATTGAAGCGCTTTTGGTACCTGATGGGGGAAAAGTAGAAGGCGGCACCCCTCTCTTCACACTCAGGAAAACTGGCGGTAAAGACCTCTTCCTGATCGTCAAGATCTCCAGTGTTCCCCCTTGCGATTGGGGCTGAGCATAATGTACTGATTCTGGATGTCTCAGAAACTGGGCCTTTGAAATGGTCTTCCCGGTTTCACCCCATGCTGGAAATTTTGCCTTTCTACCCCAGATATACTGACTCCAAATCTACAGTAAAAAATTTGGCACTCAAGCTGTCCTTAGTTGAGGAAGTAAGAGAGACAATATTTATAGAGTGTGAACTTTAAATGTCAAGTTCTAGAAGAAAATATTTTAAAACAAACAATAGGGATTCTAAAGACAGTGGTTCCCCTCCCCCCTCCTCCAATCCTGGCATCAAGTGGGAACTTTTTTAAATAAAACAAGTCCCTGGGCCCCATGTCGCAGAGATTCTGATGTATTCAGTGGAATTACCAGATCCTGATTGTCTAGTATTTTTGTTTGTTTTCAAATGTTTCCCCAAGTGATTCTGATACACAGCCAGAGTTGAGAGTCACTGTTCTAAAGGAGAAGATGCAATGTTTCAGTGTCTATTAATGGACCCTGCTGGTGCAATGATTAAAGCAGCTTAGGTGCTAACCGAAAGGTTAGTGGTTCGAAACCACCAGTAGTCTTTAGGAGAACGATGTGGCAGTGTGCTTTTGTAAAGATTCACAGCCTTGGGAACACTGTGGGGCAGTTTACACTCTGTCCCAGCGAGTCTATGAGTCGGAATCGGCTTGACAACAATGGGTTTTTATTACGGCGAATTCAGTGTAGTTTCCTTTCTAATCTGTTGGTATGTCGGTTTGAAAGAAAATGGGAACTGAATGGCAGAAATTTGTATTAGACTTCATAAAGAAAGTAACTTCTGACTCTTAGTTAAATGCTGTAACTACTAGGGTCTGTTTCTTACTGTTAAAATAGTGAAACAGAGAGGTGGCAGATGACATTGCTGAGTTTAACAGGGCAAAATCAGAAGCCCAGGTGGAGAGAAGGTATGATACGATCCAAGAAGACTAGGAAATAAGAGGGATTCTCCCTTTGAAGAATTCCACTTTCTGATCATTCATTTCTTACTGTTAAGGCAAAGAAAGTTCTGATTTAAAACAATTTAATATCTAGATGAGTATAAGAATCTAAACCTGAAAGTGCAGTTTAAGGTTGTGAGTATATTGTTGACCACCTCAGTTACGAGAATTATCCTAGATGAAATGCATTTAATTCTTAAGATTAAATGAGCTCATATTTATTTTCCCTTTTATTTTTTAATCCTTAAGAGCAGTCTTCCTTATGTGACATTAAAGTAGATGATGTGACTGTCAGTAGTACCATAATAGGACCTCATATCTCCTTTGTTGCTGCTGTTAAGTGCAATTGAGTTGGTTCCGACTCATAGTGGCCCTGTATAAGGTTTCCGAGGAGCGGCTGGTGGGTTTGAATCGCCAAACTGACTTTTCTGTCCAGTGCATTATCCCACAGCGCCACACCATCTGTCTCCGAGTGCCTTGTAACTAGCAAATACCTGGGCGATACTTATTGGTTGATTACAGATAGAGCTTTTGCTGCTAAATTTTACTTGACATCTGCAGTTGCTTTCCATTCCAGACTGTGTGTGGACATTTATTCTCATTTTTCAGCTGCTCCTGCAAAAGCTAAGCCAGCTGAAGCTCCCGCTGCTGCAGCCCCCAAAGCAGAGCCTGTGGTATCCGCAGTTCCTCCTCCCTCTGCAGCGCCCATCCCCACTCAGATGCCACCGGTGCCCTCACCTGCACAGCCTCCTGCTAGCAAACCAGGTACTAAGCCCGTAGCTCCCACGTGTCTGCATGTGGAAGCAGAGCAGCTCCTCTTGCTTTGTGCTTCCTCGGGACCAGCTGAGGCTACTCATGGCTCTGAATAGACTAGTTGTTTCCTGTGTGAGGAGAACACTAGGCTTTTTGTCAGGGGCCCTAGCTGTGGGATGTTACGCTAGTTACTTCACCTTTCTCAACAGGTGGTTCATCTGATGTGATGTGGGAACATTCTACACACTCAGGGGCTCTTGAGCATGGAGAGCCAGCAGGGATCAGTAATATTTCTTTTCTTCTTATGCAACCATGCCCTCTTGTTTTCCAGTGTCTGCAGTAAAACCCACTGCTGCTCGCCCAGTAGCTGAGCCAGGAGTTGGCAAAGGTGTGCGTTCGGAACACCGGGTAAGCCTCTGAGGAGCACTGGGGGCGAGCGGCTGTGGGTGTGGCGGCAGCAGACTCCCTGCAGCTCTGCCTCCTGCCCTGTGCAGCCTGATGGTCACTGGGTTGGATTTGATTTTCTCAGAATTTAAGAGTTGCTTCACAGATGTCAAGATAAACTTTGGACTTGGCAGAATTCTAAATTCCATAGGCCAGGATTTTAGGAATTAGAGATTACTCTCTAAAGGAGAAATTTAGGGTCAGATCATACATGTTTGGAGGAGGAAATGATACATGTAATTGAATTCATTGTATTTACTGAATTCCTTCTATTTACTTTAAATAATAAGAATGTATTTTCTTAGCAAAGAACCCAATTTCAAGAAATGCAAAAACTGACTCTCAGGATTCTGTAGGGAGATGTGGAGACAAGGTAACTCATCTACAAAGAGGATCTTTTAGCCTCGATTAGGGAGCGTTTCTTTTACAGCAGCCTATATAGTGGTTACGAATCGCGCTGCGAACCTTAAGATCAGCAGTTCGAAACTACCAGCTGCTCTGCGGGAGAAAGATGAAGCTTTCTGGTCCCGTAAAGATTTACAGCCTTGGAAACCCTGTACAGGGTCGCTATGAGGCTATGAGTCAGAACCGACTCCACGGCACATAACAACATACTATGTGTGTAAGGAGCTCTGGTAGTGTAGTGGTTAAGAAACGGGCTGCTAACCTCAAGGTCAGCAGTTCGAAACTACTAGAGGTTCTGCGGGAGAAAGATGAATTGTTCTGCTCCTGTAAAGATTTACAGCCTCAGAAACCCTGTTCAGGGTCACTATGATTCGGAACCGACTCCACGGTACTTAACAACATACTATGTGTTGACTTTTGGGGTTGATTTTGTTTGACTTAAATTACTGCTCAACATATCACTGGACTGATGATTATTTTTGTTTATGTGATGACCCTAAAGTAAAGTGACTTCATGTTAGATTATTTTATTTGACACACAGAGCAAGTATTTCCTGTCTGGAAAACAAGGAAACTGAGTTTCAGGAAGTAACTTATTCATAGTCACATAGCTGTTGGATGGTAGTCAGGACTAAAAGCTGAGGTTTTCTGAACCGTGGTCAAGTGGTTTTTCTACATTATATGCCTTGGGCGATTAAAATATCTGCAGAAGATGGTAGCTGAGTGGTTTAGTTAGCTGTGTCCTTGTGCTTCCGGGAGACTGAGTGGAGGGCTGCACAGCAGTAGCTGTCAGGAACAGACAAAACCTCAAGGAAGTATGGTTAAGAGTGCGGGCTCCCCTGCCTGAGAATCCTCCTAAAAATACAGTAGCCTCAAAAGTGTGTCACTCAGGAGTTTCCTTTGTGTGTTTCTTTCCACGAGTAGCTATTTTCATGTAAAGCTTTTTCTATCCCCAGAAGTTGCCCTTTCTCTAATGATAATTGGGCTGGCTAGACCTAACCCACACACGCTTCCTTTTCATCAGTCGGGTTGGGTTTGGTTTTTAAATCAAGCCATTTCCTGGGCTTCCATTCTTGGTCAGACTTCAGGCACATCTGAGTGAGTGGGTTTTGCCCATGGTTTCTCTTTCTTGCTTAGAGTCACGGCCCCCCACCACAAGAAAGAAAGCAGGAACTCTCATTGTACTCAGCTGCTGTGTCCCTGTAGCACTTGGCCAGGCATCCCCAGCAAGTTGAGTGCCCCCTCTGGCTAAAATGGGTGCTTGATCCCAAGAGACCAGCTTGTCAATGCCTGTCCCAATTTTGTTTTCAGGAGAAGATGAACAGGATGCGGCAGCGCATTGCTCAACGTCTGAAGGAGGCCCAAAATACGTGCGCAATGCTGACTACTTTCAATGAGGTTGACATGAGGTGAGGTCTAGAGTCTTTCCTTATTTCCCACGTCCTGTTTCCTTGAAGAAGGCTTGAACTTGCCCTACTTCCTGCCTCATGCTGGATCTGACACTGACTTGGCAGGACAGGGATGCTCCTTTACGTTGCCTTGTGTTGGTTGACACAGAACAGCCCATGGAGTTCAGGCTCCATCATTGCCATGTCTGCCGCCTCTTGAAGTAAAACATTTAACAGACTTTCATATTTTCATACCTTGAATCTTTGATAAATGAAGCGTGTAATAGTCTAAACTCTGATCACTAATGTCAGGAGAGTTCAAGCAAGCAGAGAGGGCTAACCAGGCTTACCCTGGGCCTCCCTTGGGGAAGGAGGACCATTTGATAGATAGCAGGCCCAGCACCAGGGCACCTCATTCTGCTCCTTACTTACCGTGACTCTCCTGATGCTTGTTCCTAGGCACCGTGGACTGGGTAGGTGGGAAGCTATAGGCTTATCAGAGATTTCCCCTGTCCCCGCTTTGGTTACGAAATGGAAAGCAGGTTGCATTTTTTTCAATTAAAAACTCAGCATATAAGCCAAAGGACCCCCATTCAGTATACCTGTTTCAGTAATGGTCATAATTGGCCCAGCTCTTTTCTCCTTTAAGGTTTTTCTGTGTACAGATACCAGCAGTATGGGGAAGAGTATGCAGCTGCATTTGACAGACTCTTCTGATGCCTACTTAGTCTATGCGAGGTATCATAATAGCAAATTCAAGGGGGATGCATAGATGAATGAAAAAGAACCCCTATTCTTCTCAGAGCTTCCTGTCTGGTTTGGACAAATTACAAAGTAAAACTAGTGAGATCATTTGTTTTGGGGTGGAGGCAGACACAGGGTGGGTAGGATTAGGAAGGACTACTGAGGGGAGAAAGTCTGCATAGACCTTAGAGAACAGCTAGCATTCTGACAGGTAGTGTGGAGAAAGGCCATTCTAGAGGATGCTAACAGCTTGGCTGTGACGGTGGGGCAGGAAGTACAAGACCTGTTTGAGAAATAGTGAAGAAAGGTCCTTTCCACTGTGAGGAAGGCGCACAGGAAAGAACAGTTAAGAGGACTGGATCCGTATTGCAGAATGCTTTGAATTCCAGAATAAGACGTTTATATTTAATTTGGGAGATGCTATATCAAGTCTTGAAGAATGTATTTGCTTCTTTATGTCCTGAGTGTCTAGTTGTGCTTGTCTACTTTTCCCTAAGAACATTTATTTTCCTTTCATGGGACTCTGAAACGTATGAGGAGGTAGTGGTTTCTGAATTGTGTTGTTGTTAACTGCTGTTGAGTCAGTTCCAACTCATAGTGACCCTGGATAGGGTTTCCGAGGAGCAGCTGGTGGTTTAGAACTGCCGACCTTGAGACTTGACATCCAGTGATGATCCTATAGCGCCACACCAGGAGTCTGTACTAGGGTATTTATGAGAGTAGGACTCTGGTCTATTTCACTATATGTCTCCCACCCTATCATGACTCTCCCTAATGACTGGGTGTCATTCAAGCCATAGGCTATAGAGAAGGACCTTGACTAATGGATCAGAGAGGCTGCAGCTTGTGTTTCAGTGCATTAGGGCCAAATTGTTCACAAATTGAATTGGACTTTGAAATTCTACCCAAATCCTCAAGACAAAACATGTAAATATTTGTGGCCTTGGAAGATGCACTTGGCCCAACAATGTTGATTAGAAGGTAAGTGCAGTAGTTGGATCTCCTTTCAGCTGCTAATCGAGGTGTCACTTAACAGTGGGCAGGGGTCTCCCCACAGTTTTAATCTGGTTTAGATTGAGTGCCCTTTGGGTCCTGTGCTGATCAGCTAACCCATAAGGGGCCCTTCTGAGACCTCCTCCTCTCCCCTGTCGTCCCAACCCCTGCCTCCAAGGCCTCAGCTCTGAAATAGAAACGAGTTAATGACCAGACAATAGCATTTGGGCAGGTTTGAGAGCAGAGAGGTTTATCGCTTCGCCTTCACTCTTCTGCAGCTCTTGTGTCTTGGGAACCAGTAATGTCTTTAGGGTGGTAATCCTAGCACTAAATAAGGTTAGACTCAGGAAAACAAACATTTTAAACCCAATCAGCTCCCCCCCCACCCAAGGAAAACTTCCTTTTTCACAAACAAAAGGTCTGAAGTGGGGAGTTAAAGTTGTTCTGCATCTTATCTTTCATGCTAATGTCGAATTAGGCCATTATAGGAAGAAAGGGAGAACTGAGCATTTGGGCTTAAAATGAAGTTAAATTTGATTTCCATCGCAGAACTCTGTTCCGATAAATACTGACATTTCTGCACAAAATGATGGGGATGTTATTCCCCAAACTCTGCAGCATGTTTGTGGAACAAAGGCATCTCAGAAGACTGCTGCTTATCCCTTCAAAAGTTCTATCTGAAGGAGACAGACCTCGGTCTGCACATGACGACTTTTCTAAGAGCCAAGGAAACCACATCGTCCGTTATACTAGTCTCAAGAATAAGAGCTGAGTCTTAATATGCATCTTGTTGTCCAGCACTGACTTGCACGTGAGGTGGCCACTTAGAAACATGCTTGATGTGTAAGTGAATGGCATTGCTGACTCTGGGGCAGCGACAAAGTAATGCGCTGCCTTTCACAGCCTTCCATGTATAGGGAGCCCTCAGCTTATGACACATTAGAGTTACAGCAAACAAACTGCCCTTAAGGCCATCAGTTTTTGTTTCTGTCTTGTCCATCTTATTGCTAGTAGTGGTGTTCTGGTGTGGTGCTGCAGGATAATGCACTGGACCGCAAGGTCAGTTTGAATCACAAGGTTGGCAGTTCAGACCACCAGACAGTCCTCAGAAACCCTATACAGGGTTGCTCTGAGTCAGAACCGACTCAACAGTACCCAACAACAATCATTAGTGGTATGTACTGTAGACACTGTTACTCTGTGTTATTTGCTGACGTCATCATATCTGCAAGTTCATACGTAATGTTTCAAATCCCGGAAGGCAAATATCAGATTTGTAAAGATACTGATAATAGAAGGCAATAATAATTAAAACTAAAAAATGAGGTATTTGACTTAATGTCAGAACCGACGTAAGCCAGGATTGTCAACACACTGTGAGTCGGGGACTGCCTGCCTGGCCCTGACTGCTTTTGCTTCCGGATCAGCCCACACGCCTGGTGGCTGTCCTCCTAGAGTTAGGGTAGCAGCTGTAGCCTAAGTCAGTTAGGGTTGCTGGTTTTTAAAAAATAATTTTAAGGAGAAAAAGACTATTACTTATTTTGTATACTTTGTACTTTAATAAAAACCTCTCTTCAGGGTAAATAGATAATGATTCTGAAGTCCTTGGTTGTCTCAGACGGGTAAGCACTCGACTCCTAACTGGAAGGTGGATAGTTTGAGCCCAACCAGCAGAGCCTTAGAAGATACACCGGCTGTGAGCAGTTCTACTCTGCACACCTGGGGTGGGTCTCCATGAGTTGGAATCAACAGCAACTACTCGTGATGGTGGTAGTGTTGTTAAGTTGCCACTCACAGCAACCTTGTAAAGGGTTTCCAAGGAGCGGTTGGTGAGTTGGTACCGCCGACCTTGTGGACCAGTGCATTATCATGCAGCGCCACACCAGTATAAAAAGCACCTTGTTGTCCAGGGTGAGAATGTCGTATGTTGTGTCATCTGCTGTTCTGTCTGCCCACCTTAAACAGAGTGGATCAGATTCCTTAGTATCTTGTTTTTGTAAAAAATGAAACAAAAAAACAACAAGGTTATTATGCTGACCTTCAGTGAACTATTTCAAAACTTTAAACAACGGTAGATGGTCCAAAATAAGAGAAAAGCTTGCCCAATTGTGTACATGGAGTTAAAAACTGGTGTGAAAGTCAAAATCACAGCTTCATTTGTGCTCATTTGGTTTTGCAATGTGTTTTTGCAGTAACATTCAGGAGATGAGGGCTCGGCACAAGGATGCTTTTCTGAAGAAACACAACCTCAAACTAGGCTTCATGTCGGCATTTGTGAAGGCCTCGGCCTTTGCCTTACAGGAGCAGCCTGTTGTAAATGCAGGTGAGTTGGTTGTGACCAGAATTGCAGTGGTCCTGGAAGGTAGATGTGAACACAGACTTGCTGAGACACAAAAACGTACACACACACAAATGTGGGGCTCAACAGACCGAGGCACCTGATTTATTCCCATGAAGACTTGCATGTTCTCTGTAGGGATCTGCCTTCCTTTCTCCGCCAAACAGAGCCGTGGTGCACAGCTCAACAGACAGCAGGCAGGCTGTCTTTTGTAAGTTCCCGTCCCAGCTGGCACCATCCCTCCCTGCGCTCCACATAAGCCCTGTTATCTTGGGGCCTGGCTTCTACACTTGGCACAGGCTCCAGGCTGACCTTTGATCTCTGGTCGATGTGCCTTATTGGGAGGCCTTGGTCCTGGCCCCTCCTTCCTGGACTTGGTGCTCATTTTCCTTCATTTTGATTCACCTACGTCATTGAGGTGTTGACCAAACAAGCTGTTCCCTTTTTCTATTGAGACACTTGTCTCTTTCCTGGAGATTAGAGAGGGACAAGGACACTTTGCAACCCCTAGCAGAGCCAGGGCTCCTAAAGGTCTAGAAGTAGGAACTTTAGTCCCTTCCATTGAGTGGTATGTTCTCGGTAGGTAGAAGGGCTGTCTTTGTTTTTCCCAAATGTGTAGTTTGTCCTCATGTAACTCACCCATGCATATAACATGCACAGATAGTGCGCATAGGAAACTAACACACAAGGCAGTTGCATGATTTGAAATGTTATCTCTATAAAAAAATACTGTGCCTCTTTGTGTTTCATTCCTTCTTCTGCCTTCCTGATCGACTCTTCCTCCAGCTTATCCATTGGCTCCTGAAGTTCTCCTTTGTAGCTTCTCTAATAATACAACTTAGACTTTCTTTCTGTGGGAAAGATTTCAGATCTGTGAACCTTTATTTTGTCATGATGCTGAGAAGTAAATTTTTTTGTTGTTGTTTGTGCTTTCTCCTTTTTTAAAAATTTTTTTTGTGAATTATGTGATAGTTTACATGGGAGAACGTTAGTTTTACATTCATCCTATCGTATATTTTTTTACATTCATCCTGTCATATATTGTTTCATTGCCATGGCTATAATCCCCTCCATGCAACATCAACCAACCAAAGAGTATATCCTACAAGCCAACCCTCCCAACCCCGACCCCGGATCATCAGCACACAGCCCTCCGCCCTCCTCTCCCTCACTGTGTCTAAAGTCTCCAGCTGTTCCATCTCTCCACGTCATCGTCTCTGCTTCCATCTCAGGCATCACTGCTTCTCTGGGTAGGGTCCCGCTGAGAAGTAAATTTTTATCCACTGGTTTGCTATCTAATGCTGGCATATCTGAAGCCAGCCCTACTTCCACCTGAATTGTTCACAGTGAGAAACAGATTGGGCAGTATCTGCCTTGCACCTTTCCTTTGCTCATTGGCCTTTTCTGGAGGACTTTTTAAACCTAACCCTTCTCTGCTAATGGGAGAGTTTGAGTAGAGCAAGTTAACAAGAAGTTTGTGCGTCCCTATCCTGTGTAAGCTCTGTGTTGAGCCCTTCTGATTCTCCTGCTCTCAGAAGATCTCAGGGGACTTGGGAGATCTTCTGATTGGTTGATAATGGGCATAAGAGGAGTTGTTTTTATGTGCTGTTGAGTTGGTTCTGACTCATAGCAACCCTGTCTAGGCTTTCCAAGGAGCAGCTGGTAAGTATGAACCACTGATCCTAAAGTTCAAACTGACCTTGCTTTGTAGTGCTTTATCCCACAGCACCATCCCAGGACTCCTGTAAGAGAAGTACCAGCTACCATTTGTAATGCCGTGCTATTCACATTGGTTGGTCAGCCCACTTCAGATTGCCTTTTTATCTCTGAATGCAAATCCTGCCTCATTAGCCTAGCCTCGTTCTTGTTTTTACGTGCCATCGATGTGGTAGCCTTGGAGGCTTGTAAATAACACGTCTTTTCTTTTTCCCAGTGATTGACGATGCATCCAAAGAGGTGGTGTATAGGGACTATATTGACATCAGTGTTGCAGTTGCCACTCCACGGGTATGTTGGGGCAGGAGTGGGAGCACCGGGCTGACCCTCCTCCGATCTGCGTGAAGAAACAGTGACCCTGGGATAGAGCACTTGTAATGAGATCTTTTCAGAAGACAGCTAGTAAAAGATGAACTTATTTTTGACCTTACCATATTCATGTAGTCTCAGACCTCAATATTACAGACTTTTTGCTTATCCCTTTGACATCATTGAGGTATTCTGGGGAGGGGAGAACACTGGCTCACATTAAGGGAGCTATATCTGTAGAAAGTATTATTTGCAACTGAAACCAGCTTTTCATTTCCTTCAGGGTCTGGTGGTTCCTGTCATCAGGAATGTGGAAGCTATGAATTACGCAGATATTGAACGAACCATCAGTGAACTGGGAGAGAAGGTAAAGTATAAAGATCTGCGCACGACTGCTGGGCAGGTCAGCGAAGGGAGCTGGCTAGGCGTGGCTACCCGTAAGTTGTTCTGCACGAGAAATATATAGTGCCTGAGAAAGATGCAGTCTAGGTACCTGGTGGCCCTGTTGGCTTATGTTTCATTTATGAAATCTTTGTTCGCAGGCTCGAAAGAATGAACTTGCCATTGAAGACATGGACGGTGGTACTTTCACCATTAGCAATGGAGGCGTTTTCGGCTCGCTGTTTGGAACCCCCATTATCAACCCTCCTCAGTCCGCCATCCTGGGCATGCACGGCATCTTTGATAGGCCAGTGGCCGTGGGAGGCAAGGTAGGAACTGTCACCTCCTAGGTTCTAGCTGCTAGGTGGTGATGACAGGGAGAACCAGCCTAAATGCTAATTACAAAAAAGTCACTATAATCTCAGTTCCATTTCTTTGTTCCTAATTATTTGCTGGTGTGGTGCTGTGGGCTAATGAGTCAGACTGCAGAATCGTTTGAACTGCAAGGTCGGTGGTTCAAGCTTACCAGCTGCTCCTTGGGAACCCTTTACAGGGTCACTGTGGGTTGGAATCGACTCGACGGCACTTAACAACAACATTAATTATTTGCTTAGACGTGAGCTCTCAAAATGAGGTCTGTGGGTGAGCATCATCAGCATTATCGGGGGGCTTGTTAGAAACGCAGGTCCTTGGTCCCCACCCCAGAGCTACGGAATCCGATCTGCAGGTCACTGAGCTACGTGTGAGTGTGAGAGCCACTGAGCTGAAAAGGCTGGTTCCTTCATCTGGAACCAGACGTCGGGTTTTCACTGCATGCCTACTGTGGTGCTGTAGATGAGCACTGGACTGCGGACACAGGGTCAGCAGTGCAAACCCTTCAGCTGCTTCTCAGAAACTCAACAACAACAGTTGGTTAGTGCTCTCTAGGTGCCTTAGGGGTGGGAGCAAGCTCCTTGCCCCTGGGAAGCAGTTGAGGACAATGAATGCCGCAGAGAGTTACCGCATTGTCTGGTAAGACTCTGAAGTTCTCTGGGAGTTGAAGAGACTCAGCTAGGTGAAAGGGGCTTGTGCTGGCCCTGGGATACTGGGAATAAACTTGCTGGAATTCCTGTGTTAAGAGCTTTTTGGGGGCTCATAACTGTGAACCTGAAAGCTATAGATCTTCTCCCCTGCCCTGAAAATGCCCATCTGCCCAACTTTGCATGCAATTTCAGAAAACTTGTGGACGCCAAGCTAAAGCCCGAGGAAGCAGCTCTCAGTAGCCAGAACTGAAGGAAAACCCACCCCTGTAGACCACAGATGAAGAAGGGGCAGAGTGTAGAACAAGTTGGTAGTGTTTAAGCCTTGTGTCTGAGTTGAACTTTGAAAATACTGTGATTATTTAGCAGTGACTTCAGTAGGCCAGACTCTGGACCTGGGAGCTATCCTGTGGATCCCATTTTCTCATATTCCTCCCTCAGCAGGGCATTCCGTGCCCTGCTGAAGATAAGCCTGTTGACCTCTCCTTTCTGCAGGTGGAGGTGCGGCCCATGATGTACGTGGCCCTGACATATGACCACCGGCTGATCGACGGCAGAGAGGCGGTGACTTTCCTCCGCAAAATCAAGGCAGCGGTAGAGGATCCCAGAGTCCTCCTACTGGACCTTTAGGAAGAAGCCACGTATCCTCTGAAGTGACCATGCAGGAACTGAAAACCAGTCTTCTCCCTGTCCCCTCACGGGTCCTGGGTTAGCCTGGTGGCAGACAGGCACATGCTGTTGGCCTCAAACAAGGAAGCCAGGACACTATGTAACCAGCCGTCTCAGGCCTTGTCTTGGTGTTCCTGCCAGACTCTCTCCCTCTCCGCACCCTTCTCTTACACTTGAACCCTGTATTCCATTAGGCTTGAGAGAGACAGAGTCTTAAAGGATGCTCATTAATATTCCTGCCTTTCTTCCATCAGCCCTCCTCAGAGATGATTTGGCTTCTTTCCAGTGCCACATGATTCTAACGTTTCCATCTTGTGAAAGTCCACTCTCCAGAGACATGCCGGGGAGGCTGCCGGGCCACCCAGCTCAGAGCAGCCTCTGTCCTAGCCGTGCACGTCCTCACTGGCATCCACCTGTGTGGAGGATTAGCACAGGGAGAGGTGCTGCTTTGCTTCTTCAATGGCACTTTCATTCTCAATTTTCATTCACTTCAGATGCCTCTTCTACCTCTTGCGGGAAGCACAGGCCAGGGGATCTAGGTTGGAGGGGTGAGAGTGCGGAGAAGAGGGCCGAATCCTCCTGAGGTCATTCATGGGCTGTAAGCATAGATGGCAGAGGAAGTCAGACCTGCCCTCACACTCACCACCATAGCCTCGAACCAGGAAGATCCATTTTGGCACAACTATAAGCAATTGTGGTTAGTACCAACCCTTTCTGAGCCCTTTTCTGGGCTGCTGGAAACCATTCTAGCACATTGTTTTCATGTAGAGCAGATTCCAGCACCTCATGGCAGTGGGCCAACATGGAGCCTGGTAGAGATTGAGGTAGGGGATAGAGCCTTTTGTGGACTGGCTCAGATCTGGACTTAAAATAAAAGCTGGAATGAGCATGTGGTCTTCAGACAATTCTGTTCCTTCCTGCATTGAAGCCTTTAGGGAGCAGGGCTTTAGCTCTTCCTCTGTAGGACACAAATCTGGGGTGGAAACCAGCCTTGAGATGGGGTGAAGTGGCTGAATTCATCTCTGAGGGTACTGCCTAGTGAGTCTGGGCATAATCATTGGAATTCCTTGGAGCCTGGTTAAATGCGTGTATTTTATGAAAGCTACTGGACTTCATTGCTTTGTATTCAACTGCATCCAGGCCTGAGACTGCTGACACTTGACACCAAGGGGACATTTATTTAGTGTTCCATGCCACTTGTATCTTGAGCAGAGAAGGAGGGCCTGGGGCCGGGGAAGGGGGTAAGGGATGGGAGCAATACTGAGTGCCTGCAGCATCTATGTCTTCACTCTTCAGAAATTGTAACTAAACTATTTAAAGAAACTGATTTTAAGTGGAAATTAAAGGGCAAATGTTCTCAAACAAGCTTCCTGTTTCCAGGCTATTTACCGACTCCGCCATCAGTGTTGAAGCCACTTGGTGCCCCATTGGTTATCCTGTGGCATACTTCTGGAATAAGCTAACACTGTACAGATTGGACAGAAGATAGAACCACAACTGTATCTTCCTCTTGATACCTAAGCTTCCTTCTGGTTGGCACCTGAGACTTGTCAAACTCCTCTCTTAGAAATTGGGGTTCCACTTTGTGAAGCTCCTTCTAAACTACTTTTGTGGGAGTTTGCATTATTTCTGTGATTGGGGGGCATCGCTTTTAACTTGCTGTCAATTGGGTGATGGTCCATTTTCCACTGAACAGTTCATACATTGATTGCAGTCCCAGATTGTAACATCACTTGCCCACTTTCTCCTGTGTTTCCATTCCTCCTGTCCTCATCTAAACTTGGCCCTTGGGTAAATGGCTGCCCTTTTGATCTCAAATCGTTGATTATTCTACAGTGTACATACCTCACTAGTGTTGTTATTCCCCTTAGAGATGGATCTATTGTTGGGCTGAAAATTGAACCATGGGGGTGAGTTCTTTTCCAAACCTGAAGGGTGATTAAGGGTCATAGTCTCTGTGTTCTACCAGTCTCTAGCTGACCAGTAAGCTTGGTGTTTTCAATGGTTTTGAATTTTGATCCACATTTTTCTCTCAGTCTATCCAGGGCCACTTAATGTGACTCTTTTCAGAGCTGGGCACCATCTAGCTGTGGTCTCAGGGTCATAGTGCTACTTGAACAAATAGAAATGTATGCTCACAGCTTAGGAGGCCGGCAGTCTAAATTCAGAATACCAGCTCTAGGATAAGGTTTTCTCTGGGCCCTGGGGAAACCAGTTTTAGGGTTTTAATATGTCTCGACATCAATCTCCCCCTGGATCTAGGGGCTTCACAGGGCAGGGACCCCAGGTCTAAAGGACACATTCCACTCCGGCTCTTCTGTCTTGGTGGCAGTAGGCCTCTCCACCTCTGCTCACTCTCTCGCCTTTTATATCTCAAAAGACTGACTCAAGATACAGCCTAACCCTATAGCTTGCCTTTGGTCTCATTAACATCTTACTAGGTGCCTACTAAAGTCATAGTGAGACTGTGTATAGGGTTTCCAAGGAGCAGCTGGTAGGATTGAACTGCTGAGAACTAGCAGTTAGCAGCCTAGTGCCTCACCAGGATTTCCAATAACGTTATTGCTAAGTGCCATCAAGTCAGTTCGGACTCATAGCAAACCTATATATGAGCAGCTGGTGGGTTTGAACTGCCGACCATGTGGTTAGTCATCCAGTGTTTATCCTATTGCACCACACTGGGACTTCATAGAAGTGAGGATCTATAACCCATTGGATAATTGCATCAGATCAAAGCGGATTATATCATGGGAGGTGATTACATTAAAGCTTGTCACAGGGAATTATATCTTAACCATGGAGAATCCTGCTCCCGTCATTAGTCTATTGGATGAATTGTTTCCATGTGTCTTTGATTTCCATCACTCTTCTTAACTCCGGACAGGGAGCTCCTTAGATGACTGCTCACAAGTTTTTAAGACCCCAGTCGATACTCCCTAAAGTAGCATGTAGAACACCAGTTGTCCTTGGTGTCCTCAGAGACCATGGTTCTGAAGAGATGGGGACATCTCTTACAGTGTAGTATTTGGATATGTCATATGTGCACCAAGATGCTCTAGTTAAGGAGCAATCAGGGTGAATCACCGAGGAGCACCTTCTGTGTAGATGAGTGGACAGGACTGATAACTAACCCAGACGAGCCAGTGTGAGATGTTAAGTGCCGTAGAGTTGGTTACCAACTCAGTGACCCTGTATAGGTTTCTGAGGAGTGGCTGGTGGGTTTGAACCACAGAGCTTGCAGTTTAAGCCCACCTTGTGGACCAGCGCTTATCTTACAGTGCCACGGCTTAAACACCTTTGTCTTGCTCGCAGAATTTGCAGTGAGGTCACTGTCATATAAAAATCTATCCCAGGAAGAAAGTGAGTTTCAGAGCATAAAACTAGATAGAGCTGCTGCTGCTGTTCAGTGCTGTCGAGTCGGTTCTGACCCATAGCAACCCTGTACAGGGTTTCCAAGGAGCAGCTGGTGAGCTTGAACCACCAGCCTTGAGGTTCAAACCAACATTGCAGTCCAGCGCATTAACCCACAGTGCCACACCAGGATTCCAGATAGAGCTAGTAGGTAGAAAACAAAATGGGTTCATTGAAGAAGATTGTAGAATTATCTGCCCTTCATGTCTAGGGCATGGTACTTGTTCAGTGCCGTGGAGTCGGTTCTGACACAGAGACCCTCTATAGGGCTTCCAGGGAGCAGCTGGTGGGTTTGAATTGCCAACCTTGTGGTTTGCAGTCCAGTGCTGATCCTACAGCACCACACCAGAAGTCCTGGGCATACTGCTAGAAGCTTTAATTTCTCAAGTTCATCTTCAAAGTGGGTTTTATTAACGATGTGCTGCGGGTTAATGAGCTCGTCTGCAAAGTTGGTTAGAACCACAAGGTCAAGTAGTTCAAGGTCAACAGTCGCTCCTCGGAAACCCTATATAGAGTCACAAGGGGTCGGAACCAACTCAATCAGCACTTAACAATTTTATCCAAAGGAGGTCAACTGCAAGCCCCTTAAGTGTAAGAAAGGCCAGGGCCTAGCGAAGTCAGATGTGCACTATTGGCTGAATGGATGTGTGGGGATGAGGTTCAAGAGCTACCTCAGTGAAGCAGTGGTTGGAGACAATGTAGCAGGAGGAACACAGACTTGTGAACCAGCTCCACCAGGCTCTCAACGGTCTTATCAGAACCTTTGGCTTCTTAGGGTCTGTCTCAGTGAGTCACTGTGAGGATTAAGCTAATATTCCCCACTCTATACCTTGACCCTTTCCCAAGACTTCTCTTCCTTCTGGTATGGCATTGTAGGATAAGCACTTGACTGCTAACCACAAAGGTGGTGGTTCAAATCCACCAGCCAAGCCTTGGAAACCCTATACGGGGTTGCTATAAGTTAGAACTGGCTCCATGACACTTAACAACATTGTCCCCTACAGGCCACCACCTTCCTTCAGGCCTGAGGCCACTCTGAGTGGGGACTTGGGTACAAGCTGACAAGCCTTTCACCCAGCCCTGGGTGCCTAGCACAACTTCTGTGTGGGAACCTCCTACTTCCCCACCTCTTGCAGAGTCATGCCTGTTAGTTACATTGATGAGACAGGGACACCATCGGCAATGACAGGTTTTATTTTGTGGGGAGAAGATGGGGGTGGGCAAGCCATTGAAAGCCAGAATCGAGGACCACTGAATCACACAGGTGCCTCTCTGGTGGCATCTCTGCCCGAGTCAGCTGAGGAGCACAGCAACCTCCCCACCACACAAGTCTTTTCCCAGTGATGGTTGGACCGTCACAGGCAGGCACCGGAGGAAAGGCTTTGGTCTGGCGGGCTTCTCTTAGGCGCCACATCCTAGTGACCGCATCAGAGGACTCCCCTTATCCCCCCCACATACACACACACCTGGGGGTTATCTTTGGGTAACTACATCAGAGAACCATCTTGCTTTTGGCTAAATGTTGGGAGATTCTTCGTTTTGTGGTTTCTCATTGCAAATGAGGATACAGTAAGAGTGGGCAGTGAGTTGAGTGGAACCTCATGACCACATGCAAAAGGAGAATCCATCCGGGCGAAGCTCCAGAGGGGAGTCCCCAGGGGCACAGCTGGTCTTAGCTGCCTCCACCTGGCTGCTGAGTTGCAGTCTCCTCTTGGGTCCAGAGGCCAATTGACTGCCTTTTCTCTGCACCAGTGGCCAGCAGGGGGCCCTTCCTCCTGCTTCATATTTGCTTGAAGTGGCAGAGCTGTGTGCCTGAGCCTCCCTCCCACCCCTCAGTTATTTTCCTTTCCTTGCCCCTTCCTTTTGCTCCCCAAAGTCTGAAATCACAAGATTGGGGTGCATGGTGCTGTACCTTTGCTCCCTACCACCACACTGCAGATTCTCTGCTTCACCAGCCCCCACAGGAAGCACCTCTGGCAGCAGAGGCCCGCTGTTTGCAGGGCTAAGACCCAGTCCAGCATTCTTGAGCTTGTGGGGCACCTCTCCAGAGAGGTTCCAGTGGGGGCACACATGTGGATGGTGAAGCCCCATCACCTCACAGCAGGCTCAGCATCTGGTCAGTAGTTCAAACTAATGTGACAGATGTTAAGCACCATTGAGTCGGCTCCAACCCATAGCGACCCTGTATAGGGTTTCCTAGCAGTGGTTGCTGAGCTTGAAGCACTGACCTGGCAGTTCAAACCGACATTGCAGTCCAGCACATTAATGCACAGCACCACACCAGAACTCCAACTGTGACAGAGGGCATCCTTTAAAACGCTGGTCCAGGCCTAGCGTGGGGTGGTGTAGAGCAGGCACTCGGCAGGTATCTGTTCACTGGTGGGTGTGGCTAGAAAGAACCTCTCTGGGAGCTTGCTGGAGAACTCCCAAGAAGAAGCCTGGGGGTTGGGAGCTGAACAGGAAAGGCAGCCGCCCACATTCTGCATCTGAGGCCCATTGATTAGAGGGGCGGGTTCCGTGACAGGGAGGAGATCCAAGCCTGGCCAACTGCTCGGGTGGACCTCTCCACCCCTCCTACCCCACCAGTTTGTTCCATTGGATAGTACTGAAAAAGGGGTGGGCCTTGAGTTTGCTGACACCGCTGGATCCAGAGCCCAGGCGCTGGCTGGGCTCAAACTGTAGCAGCTGCAGAGAAATTCCCAGGTCAGCATTCTGGGCAAACTTCACCACTGTCCTTCAGGCATGGGCTGAACTCTGGGCACTCCGGCCACCATGGTGGCGGGCAGGGGTTGGGGGGGATGTCACTCACTGACTGCCCTTACTCACAAAGCCCCAGTTTTATCTTGTCCCTTCACCCTCCTGTATCTACGTTAGACATCTAGGATGTAGGACAGGGCTGTGCTCTCCAGACCCCACCCAGGAGGCCAAGAAGCCACTTCTTTTAGGCTGGTAGCACCTCACCTCAGTCAGCAGGGAGGCCGCCGGGCGGCTGAGCCACTCAGGCAGTTGGAGCTGGGTATGGACCTGGATTCTGGAGGGGTGGCTCTGGGCCAGTGCCTGGGAAGACACGGGTGGGCCTCTGAGGAGGTGACCCAGGATTGCGTACACACTCACACACTCCAGGGCCAGCCAGAAGCTTCTATCGTGTGCTTTCCCCTGGGAATGATGATGATGGTGCTGATGCAGCATTTTTAGGACCTACTGTATGCCAGACATACATTATCCTTCATTTCCAACAACCCTTAAGGTCAGTATCCTCGTTTTAAGGGTAAGACATGGGCCAAGAGAGGTAAAGGGATGGTGCAGAATTGAGGGTTTGAACCCAGCCCCCTCTGGCTCCAAGCAGAGCCTCTTCCACTCCAGAAGAGCCTGGCTTTGGGGAGCAGAGAGCTATGTTTGGAAATAAGGTGAGCTCCAAGGCATTTCCATGAAGAAAGTAGGAACCCAGGGCCAGAGACCCGAGGTGAGATAACCACCCTGTGGGGAGACAAGGGGTTCTACAAAAGTTCAAGAATAAATGGAATGAAAAGATGGTGGACTTTTCCCATGAAGTTTTGGAAGCCCCCCATATTTACATCCAGGGCTCTCAGAGGTTGGGAGCTATAGGATACAAACATTCCCTCGAGGAAGGAGCCAGGTCAGAGCTGGACTTGAGATCTCTCTGCTTCATTTCAACCACTTCCTGTTCAGATGCAGTCTGACCTCTGTTTCTGTTCTGGGACCGACTTAACATAACCAGTCCCAGAGGCTGTGCTGAGCTCAGTTGGGGAAAGACAGATAGGAGCTGCCATCCACAGCCAGTGTTTGCCAGGGAAGCCCCGAGTTCTTGGCAGATCTAGAGTGGACAGGGCAGCTACTGGCATGGACCCAATCTCTCTTCCCCACCTTTTAGTCAAGGTCTGGCTGGGTGAGAAAAGTGAGCTGGGGGTGGGGGTGGGGGGAGGAGTGTGTGTGTGTGGGAGATGATACAGGGGTCTTCTCAGGAAGGGAGCTGTGCCAAATTCTAGGCTGACACTTCCAGAAACTTCCTGATCATTCCAGTGCAGCTCTTATTCACGTAAGTTAGCCAACAGTAGTGTGTGTATGTGGTATGTGGTATGTGGAGGGAGTTGGGGGCACAAAGCATGTCCACAGCCTGGGTGGGGGGACTTCCTGTGTCTCTCACGGCCTGTGCATGGCAGTGGGACACCTATACTGGTAGAAGGTCCAGCCCAACAGCCAGGCAGCCTTAGTCCAGACGCTGGTCTGCACTCACTGGCACCCACCAGACCCAACCTACTGCCCAGCAACTTACTGTTCCTGTCAGCATTTCATACAGCAGGGACCCAAAGCTCCACCAGTCACAGGCTTCAGTCAGCTCCGAAATCCCACCCACCTCTGCGGGAATAAGAACACACCTGTATGATTATGCTCCAGCCTCACCCAAGAGGGTAGGTTTCCACTCTACACATCCTGGCAGCCACCCATCCCCTCTGCCATCCTCAGCCTCCAGCTCAGCCCCCACAAAGGCACCCAAGATCCGGGGATCCCCCTCAGTCCCTATCTTGCCTGGGGCGCTGTACAGGTTGTCTGAAGCTTCTCTGCAGCACCGAGGCTCCACTTCTGACCACTGGCCAAAATATGTGAGCCGGATGTGACCTTGTCCAGTGTGAGGAGTGAGGGACAAGGAGAAGCAAGAACTGAGGTTAACCAGCTAACAGGGGGAGCAGGGCTCCATGGTGCCCCCAACCCAGTCACAACCACAACACAAGACCCCTCATGGGCATTATCTGCACACCCCTGGGCGTTGCTAGAGAACACTGCCCTAGACGTAGGGAAACAATGTTCTACAGGTCAACTTTGACCAACCAGCCTCTTGCCCAAAGTCCTCTGTGAAATGGCTGGATGGGGTTGGGAGATGAAGCAGGGAACCTATGAGGTTCCCTCAATGGAAGGGAGAGGCCCAGATACCTACCTGCCTGATCCAGGAGCAGGTTCCGGGGGTTGAGGTCCCGGCATAGCACCCCCTGCTCGTGTAACGCCTCCAGTGCCAGCAGCATCTCAGCAGCCCACTGCTTCACCTGTTCCTCCCTCACCCTCCAGGCGCCTCCACCAGACCCCAGACTGGACCCATCCACTGAGGGCCGGCTTGAAACTTTGCCTCTGCCACAGCCCCCCAGAACCCGGCCAGCCCCCTCTCGCACCCAAGAGAGTCCCCGAGGGGGCCTGGTGTCCGAGCTCTGGCCAGGTTCCCGCCTGGCTTGGTGGTCACTCAAGGCCTTTGGCAGGTGGGAGGAGCGGGAAGCGCTGGTCCTGGCTGTGGGTTTGCCTTCAGCCTCCTTCTGGGCGCTGATGGATGGGGCTTCCTTAACTGGGTGAAGGTTCTGAGAGGTCCTTGGAGGTGCTGGGGGCATTCTGCCCTGATGGTGGGGGTGCAACGCTGGGCTGAAGAGGCTGAGGCGGGAGTTGAGCTGAGCCTTTTTCCTTTCCCTGGTAGAGCCTGTCCCTGGTCCTGACTGTTGAAGGCAAGCCTGGGAGAGCAGGTGGGACCAGAGAGGACCTCCTGGGCCATGCAAGAGGGAGCATGAGCATGGGGACAGGGAAGAAGAGGAACATGGACACTGGGTCCCTGTCCCACGTCCTTCTCCCTTCTACCTCTAAGTGGACACATCACCTTCCAGGTGTCCCAGCCTAGTTTGGCCCTCGCCTCTGCTTCCTCCATCATTCCTCTCCTCCACTAGCTGTTGTTGTTGGGTGTCGTTAAGTCAATTTAGACTCATGGTAACCTCATGTGACAGAATAAATTCCCCACTGGGTTTCCAAGGTTGTTTATAGGAGTAAGTCATCTGTTCTTTCTCCCACAGAGCCACTGGGAGGGTTCAAGTCACCAACCTTGAAATTGATGTCAGAATGCTTAAGCATTGTGCCACCAGGGCTCCTCTACCCTCCACTCACCCATCCTCAAAACATTTCCTAACATCTGCTGAACGCTAGCCCTGGGCTATGAGTTGGGGACAGCGGAGAGACCAGGGCTAGACCCATGAGAGGTCTGTACAGACAGAATATACCACCATTCCTCCATGGCCCAGCCCTAGGGCACATTCGTAATGCCTTTTATTTCTTCTGCTCTTTCCTTTATTCAACTATAATTTATTGAGCACTTACTATATGCAAGTCACCAAGCTAATTAAAAAACAAACAAACAAACAAAAACCAGTTTACTCTGACTCAGAGCAACCTTCTGTGTGTCAGGATAGAGTTGTGCTCCACAGCATTTGCAGTGGTTGATTTTTCAGAACTACATCACCAGGTCTTTCTTCTGAGGTACTCTGCGTGGATATGAGTCTTTTGGTTAACCTTTTGCACCACCCAGGGACTCCATCACCAGAATAGGTGGACGGTAACTACCAAACTACACACCCCGGTTCTTGTCGTTACAGCTCAGTCCCCACCGTCCCATGTTCCCATGCTGAAGAGTAAATACAAGGTGTCAAAGGAACCAAAAATGGAGGAAAGGTAACGAAGGATGCATCTATGCACACGCTCTCCAAGATGTTTGCCCCACAGACCCCACTACAGCCGGATCCTCTCAGTCAGCCTCCAAGACTGCTCCTGCCCAAGGCTCAGCATTCTAAAGCAGACAAGTGAGGACAGTATCCCAAAGGCCCAAAGAGTTGAGGGACCCTCAAGGCCCTCTCACCTTGCACATGTTCCAGGTGGAGGAAGATGGAGTCCTCACTCACAAAGTACCGCAACAGCTTCGTCATGTAGGGGACGCCATGTGGGATGATGGTCAGTCGCTCCCGGCTCGCAACATGGCACCTGGGCAAGCTCTGGGGAGGAGGCAGGGCATGCAGGTCAGCTAGGGACAGGCCAGTAGCTGCTGCTGCTGCTAGGGAACATCATAACCTCGTCTCAGGGACAAATGGATTAGGGGTGAGAGCCTCTCCCAGTTCCTGGCCTGGGGGCTCATCCCCAGTCTCCCCCATGGAACTAAGGCCTTGCCGCCCTCCCACCCAATGACAATGCAGCCTGTGTGAGTCTGTGTGGGAGGAAGCGGGCATGCGTAGGGGCAGAACATGCAGCTTCTGGACTTGGAGGGAGGCATGGACTTCAGATGCAGGTTTTGGAATGGGTGTTTTCAGAGATGGAAATTTCCAGGAGCTGAGAAAACTGCAAGAGGAGAGCAGAATGGCAGGGGTCTGGGTGGCACGTGCCTTCACCACGAAGATCCCTCCAGTCTCTGGATCCTGGACCAGCTGCACCTGCCGAGGCCCAGGGACACTGGTCAAGGGTCGCACTAGGCCTGGGGCTCCATGGCTTCAGCCCCAGTCCCCAGTGGTCTCCACCTGCAGGGGCTGGGCATGGAGGGCAGCCATGGGTGGTGCAGACAGCATGCCTATCTCTAGACTGCCAGTGATCCCATTCTACTAGACACCCCTGCTAGACCTGCAGGTTTCAGCTCAGGTACCACCTCCTCCAGGAAGCCTTCCCAACCCTCAGGTTAGGCTAAGGGTCTCCAGTGCTCTCTGAACTCATCCTTTGTTATAGCGTTGACCCTGTCTCTGACCACACACACTATGGGGTAAAACTGTTGTGCTCCATAGGGTATTCATTGGCTGATTTCCAGATGTACATAGTCAGACTTTTCTTTTTAGCCTGGAAACTTTGTTGAAACATGTTCAACATCATAGCGACATTCAAACTTCCACTGATGGTGGTGGCTATACACAAGGGGCATCAAACTCAGAGACTCGAATCTGGGCCTCATGCTTGGAAATTGAGAATTCTGCCACCCCTGTTGTGTGTTGTCAATTTTGAATTGTAGTGACTCACTATTACAAAGTAGAATTGTCCCCTAGGGTTTCCTAAGCACTATAGAATAAGCCCTGGACTGCTAACCACAAAACCTTTGAAACCTCGTTTCAAATCTACCAGCAGCTCCTTGGAAACCCTATACAGGGCTGCTGTGAGTCGGAACTGACTCAAAAGCACTTCACTACAACAATCTTTACAGGAGCACACTGCCAGGTCTTCCCTGCTCTGGAGCTGCTGAAGCCAATGTTTCAGTTAGCCGCCACTCCACTGGGGCCCCATCTACTACCCTGGGTTCACTATCCTGTCTCCCCACTGAACTGTGAATTTGTCAGGGCTGGGCCCACACTATCCAGCTCTGTATCCTCAGAGTGCTTCACCCAGATGTGCTGAGTGGTCCCACAGCCTCCGCCATCTCAGCCACCCAAATGAGCAGGTGATGACATGTATGCTTTCTCTCTCCCTGCCCATTCCTGGGAGACCCTCTCTCACCTGGATTCTCAGACCAGGCCTCAGCCAGAGTCCCTGCCCCTACCTTGCAGGGTCTGAGGGTATTCTGGCCCAAAGGGCCCTCAGTCGCTTCTTCTGCACTCTAGTTATGAAGTGAGGAGGCGGAGTGCTGGCGGGAGGGGAGGAGCCAAACCCTGCAGCATGCGGGGTTGGTGTGCTCCTTCAAATCAACTTACCAGCCCACCCTACCGCTTTCTTTTAGGCAAAGGGTATCACTAGTAACTCATTCTACTGGTAAATAAATTGAGATTCAGAGGCTACCGTTCCACTACTAAAAAAGTGGGAAAGCCAGGATTTGAACCCAGACAGGCTGATTCCTGAGCCCTGCAGACTTAACTGTAGATGGGATTGCAGCTAGATAGCCTTTCTTTCTCCATCAGTAAAATGAAGGAGTCCTGGTGTGGCAGTGCGGGCTAATGCGCTGGACTGCAAGGTCAGCTTGAACCACAAGGTCGGCGGTTCAAGCTCACCAGCAGACAGGGCGCTATGAGCGATTCAATGGCATTTTAACAATGACAACAAAACGAAGGAGGACCACCAGGGGCCCTCATGCATCAGGAATGTGGTACCCCTTCTGGCCACCAGGGGACTCTCGTCCAACGTCTTAAGTCCAGACTGGCTCAGGCTCCCAGGCCAAACTTGTGCAATGTTTGAAAAACAAAGGAAGACATGCATATTTAGGACAACAGAGTTTCCCACAATACTGACACCCCAGATAATTCCCCACTGTCCCTTGCCAAGTGGGATTTCCACCATCCTCGACAAGGCCCATTTCCTGCGTCTGAAAGTGCCAGCTGAGAAGGCTGGGGAAGCCAGACACAACAATTTGATCCATAGATTGATTAACAACTGTGTGGTTTTTTTTAAAAAAATACTAAAATCTACCTATCTATTCCAAAAAAATACTAAAATCTACCTATCTATTCCAAAAGAATAGGCAAACACATTAACAATGACTACTTTCTAGTTCCAATTCATACAACCATGTGTGACAGAGAATAACTTCCTCACAGGCTTTTCCTGGCTGGAACCCAATGGGGCATTTCTACTCTGGGATCCAGGGTCCTTAGTGTCACAATGGGCTCCATGAACACAACTGTAATTTGGTTGTTGTTGTTGCTTTTTTTATGGAAGCAGATCTTCAGGTCTTTCACCCACGAAACGGCTGGATGGGTTCAAATCACCAACCTTTGTATTAGCACTGTGGGTTAATGCGCCAGACTGCAAAGCTGTTTGAACGGCAAGGTCAATGGTTCAAGCTCACTAGCCGCTCCTCAGAAACCCTATGTAGGGTTGCTATGGGTCAGAATCTGACTCGATGGCACTTTACAACAACATCAACATCAACAACAATATAGTAGTCTCTGGAGTTACATAGACTGGTGGGAGATTTTATTTCCTCTGTTACACGCCTGTATCTTGTGGTATATCTCAAAAGGGTAACATGGGATATATTTTAATATTAACTCAGTCAATCAATCAATAAACGCCCCTCTTTGACCCCTATGGACCTGAATTTCATTTTCTGTAAAATAATTGTTAAAACACAGAGCTGTTTAGCAAAATGTATTGCCACAAGGGATGTTCCACATCCTCACTGTCCAATGTGGAATCATTAATGACTAAGACAATTAAGAAAAGGAATTCTTCATTGTAATTAATCTAAATCCAAACCGTCTCGTGTGGCTGGTAGCTACTGTTTGTGACAGCACAAGGCTGCTTCTTCCCCAGAACGACTGTGAAGCTTTAAAGGAACAATTCTGTAAACAAGGAAGTACCTTAGGGATGTCAAGTAAGCATTACACCCCAGAAGATGGGAAGGCACTACTGTTCTCACCATTTTTTTTTTTTTTTAAAGAAAATCTTTTTACAAAAAATACACAAAAAGCTCTGCTGCGTTCCTGAGACCTAGAAATAACAAAAGCTTTGGCGAAACACAGTAATGGCGAAACACAGCAAACCCTTTCTTTAAAGAAGCCCCAAGTGTCAAAAGTCCAGTAGGAATCTCTCATACAGCAAGTTCAAACGTTTCAACCAGGTGTTCAAACGCCATGGTCCACTGAGGTGAGGTATGTGAGTAGGTGGGCTGGGTGGGGTAGGGTGGGGGAGAGTAATAAACCAGATTCCAGTATCTAATGAGCAGCCCTCCTTTACACTGCACTGCTAGTGTGAAGAGAAGCAGGAAATCTGGACTTCTATATGAAATCTACCAACTTTTAAATGTTGGTAACTAACAAAAAACACTCAGATACATCAAGTGTGTGGTTCAAATTTAGCTGAGGGGCTATCAGTTACACCTCCTAGACAAAGCTCAGCAAATACCCTTCAAAACTCAGCAAAAATCCTACGGCACCTTCCAGGCGCCCACCCTCCCTGAAAGTAGACCCTTGGGTGTTTTGGTCAGCTGCCTGCCTAGTCCCTTGCTAGCCCCTAGAGACTTCCTTGAAAACCCAGTGAGCCCTAACAACTGGGTATTTTTGGAGACACTTTATAGGTTCCTCTGCGCAAACCTTCTGCTACCTCCAGAACCTGAGGATGGCTTCTGGCTACACAGCCCTCCTGCCCACATCTGCCAGGACAGAGGTGTGGGGTGGGGTGGGGACAACATCCAGGCCTGGCTCAGGAACTTGGGTCCAGTGGCCCTACCACCTTTCCTAATTTGGAGAAAGAGTTGTTCCTGGCTTGGGAATGGAAGCAGGAGCCAGGAGGTAAGTAGATAAACTGACTGTCAGAGAAGATAAAAAGAAAGAAGTACAACCTCAAGACACAGCGGTTGGGCTTGGCTTTAATTTGGCCTTCCCATTTGCATCAAGCTCAGCATACTGGTTTTCTAAAATGCTCAACCTGCTCAACCGTTATGTGCTCTGGAGTTAGACAAATCTGGGGAATTCTGTCCTATACCTTCCTCTTATGGAGCCCTGGTAGCGTAGTGGATTATAAATTGGAATGCAAACCACAAGGTCAGCTGTTCGAATCTATCAGTCACTCTGCAGGAGAAAGATGAAGCTCTCTGCTCCTGTAAAGATTTGCAGCCTCGGAAACCCTGTACAGTCGCTGTGAATCAGGAACTCGGCTGCACACTACCACCCTCTTGGAGATGTACAATGTACATTTGCATCCTAAACATTCTAAGAACTTCTGTAATTGAAAAATAAAGTCATGTGATTTTAACTCACTGCTTCCCAAACTCTTTCACCCAGAACCCCTTTCTCTAGAACAAACATGGCCGAGTGGATTCCACTTTGGGAGCTTCGGTGGGAGCAGCTTGCTTGGCTAAGGTCAGGCGGCTGCCACCACACAGACCCGTGCATTGGGCGGGAGGGCTGCCTGGCTAATTGAAGCTGGTTGGGCCTGACAGTGACAGTTTGGGGCGAGTTCCAGAGGCCTGGGGAGAAGTAGCTGGAACAAGGCCCGGAGGATGGGAGGCCCACCCACTAGTCTTTCCACTCACTCTTGTCACTAGCATTTATTAAATGTGTGTGCCTCGCCTTTCCCAAAAATTATTTCTTTTTAGTTCCCAGACCACTCCATAGGGAAGGACTTTGACCCCACTTTACAGATAAGCAAACCAAAGCTCAAAGAGGTGAACTGTGCACTGCCTGGGTGTTGGGGTGGGAAGCTACCCCCTACCCAGCCCCCAGCAGCACAACCCATTTGTGGGTTTGGGCAAGACTTTCTCTTTTCCTCCATTGCTTCTCAGAACCATCAGAATCACCAGACACAATTTTACAATGACAGACCGATTCCTAGAAATTCTGACTCAGCTGCTGTGGTCTAGGCAGCTGTATTTTTAGGACGCAACCCAGGTGATTCTGATGAACGACCCATTTTGGAAAGAAATGCTTTAGTGACCACCCAAGCATCCTGGGTTGGGCGCATAGACACTCAAATCCTAGTTCAAATCTTATTTCTTTTGTCCTTCTGACCTGCCTACTCTAATAAGTCCTCCGAGTAAGGGCTGGTATCATCCTACCTGCCCCAGATTGAAAGCAAGGGTCCAAGGCAAGGTCAGGATGAGAGTGGGAGCACCAGGGGAGAAGGGCAGATTTGCCATGTCCTTGGACCCTCTGCAGGGCAGGTTCCAACTGGAGATGACAATATTCCAGCCACAGGAAGTGAGGAACTTGACTTGGTGGGGAAGGGAGGGGTCTGGGAAGAGTCTGGGCTGCAGCCCTGGGGGCAGGGTGAGTGGGGTGGGACCTGTGGGTTGTGGGAAAAGGGGAGAGCTGGGCAGTGAGAGCTGGCCAAATGCCCTGGACACAGCTTCGCCTGTGGTTTCTATCTTGTATCTCTGAGGGAGTGGCTGTTCTGTGTGTCTGAGTTGGAGTGGCTACTGTTTGCAGCTTCTAGCTTCCCATGTTTTCCCTTTCAGCACCTGATTTATGTGTATTTGGTATTGTAGAGGTGGGGAACCTCTGGACATAGCTGCTCACTTCCCTTTTGACCCTCTGAGCCCTTTCCAGCCTGTTCTGGTGGACGGACTGGGTGGGGCGGGTGTTTGACAGATGTGTGACGGTTACTGACAATCTTCCTTCACAGGTACTTCACCCCAATGCACATGCATGCCATCAGTGTCCACTCACCTTCTCGATGACCCCGACTACTTTGCAGCCCCGCAGCTGCTCCAGGGCAGAGCTCAGGGTGCGGATGGGCCGGAGTCTCAGGCTGCTGAAACCCTGTAAGGAGAGAGTGTCCACCTGCAGCCCCAGGACCAGCCCTCCTCAGCCAAGCCTCGCCAACACTGGGCTGCCATGGTGGTAGTGGGAGCACTGGAGTACAGGCTGACCCTGGCTGAGTGGAGAAGTCAGGGAGCCCAGGTCAGTCCAGGATGGCCAGCCCACCCTTGACCTTTCCACTTAATCCCCTCCAAGGCCCTGGGCATACTTGAGGCTTCAGAAGCCTCTTCCTAAATCCCCATCCACAGGATGTGTTGTTGTTATTGAGAGCTGTGGAGTCGGTTCTGACTCATAGTGACCCTGTACAGGGTTTCCAAGGAGCATCTGGTGAGTCTGAAGAGCTGACACTGTGGCCCAGTGCTTTATGCACAGCGCCACACCAGGGGGTGAGGAAATAACCTGGGAACATGTAAATTTCAGGGAACACAGCTTGAAGACCAAGGCACGTGGTCCGGCCCCATGCTTTGACAGAGATCCAGGATAGTGTGTGTCTGCGCATGTATGTGGGTACATTTCCTCACTGAGAGAACCCACTGGGTTAGGTAAGGTCACATAAAGTATGCATGTGTGTGCATGTATTCACATGTGTGTGAACATGTATATTCATGCCTGGATAGAATTGGAGGCTACCAGGTGTGTGAATATGCGAGCAGAGTATGAGGTTGTGTGCACTTGTCAACTCTGTGAGGACATGAGGCTGGATGGAAGGATGAACTCACATTTGGTAAATGAATGAATGATGCAGGGTGGAAGCTAGAAGCAGAGCGGTGGGTGGAGAATCGCAGGCACACACCCTCACCCTCCCACCCACACACACACACCCCGCCCCCCGTGGCTGTGAGGACCTCTACTCTCCCCTTTGAGTCCCCTCCCAGCAGGTCCTTGGAAGGTCTGCTCACTGTGCTCTGGCTAGCTTCGCCACCCAGTGTCCTCTGTAGGTGGCAGTTGAAGATCTCCTCTGCCCGCCGCAGGTACTTGGTAATTTTCAGCTTCACAGCCTCACAGCGCTCCTTGTTGGGATCAACTGTGAGGGGACAGGATCGCCATGGACTGCCCTGCCCTTCCCCCACCAGCCTTGGAGAGTGGGGGTTCCAGCTCCCTTTGCTCACTCTGTGCCCTCCACAGGAGAAAGCTCTGATTTCTAAGGCTGACCCAGTAGACAGGGCTTGGGCCCTCCAGGGAGGGGGACAGCATCAGGGGAGGAAGAGGAAGGAAGATGGCAGGGAGGAGGTTGGGAGCCAGGGATGCCCCTCAGCTGAAAGCACTGTACAGCTGGCACACTCCACCTGGCTGGCCATCACTGTCGCCTGGGAAGATTCCCAAGTGCGTTTTTCAGACCCGGAGACAGAAGCTCCCAGAGAGCCCAGATTCTTCCATCTCTGATGCCCAGTGTGATATGGGCCAGGTGTGGCGTTGGAGGGCAAGTCAGGATCCTACCCAACTCCCATCCCCATGCTGACCACCAAGGCCTTCAGGGTCTCAAACTGGCCTCCAACATGAAATGCTTCCTTCATCCTCCAGGGCCTTTGCTATTCTTTCTCTGGAAGAGTATCAGGCCCTTCTGCTAGACAACACACAGATCCTAGATTAGAGATTTGAGTTCTAGAAAATATCCTATGGCCACAGCTTCCCCCATTGCTCCTCCCACAGTGGGTTATAATTGCCCACCATCAACAACCTGGTCTCTCCCATAGAATGCAACCTCCCTGAGGGCAGGATTCCTGGTGGTGGTGGTTATGTGCTGCGGAATCGGTTGCAACTCATAGCCACCCTGCATAGGGTTTCCGAGGCTATAAATCTTTAGGGGAGCAGAAAGATTCATCTTTCTTCCATGAAACCACTGGTGGTTTTGAACTGCTGACCTTAGGTTAGCAGCCCGACTATGCTACCAGAGCTCCTTAGCCCAGCTCTGTTGTTGCCAGGTACCATCAAGTGGGTACCAACTCATACCAACCTTATGCACAACAGTGCCCGATCCTGGGCCAACCTCACAACTGTTGCTACATTTGAGATTATTGATGCTACTGCTGTGCTAATCCATGTCATTGGGGGTCTTCCTCTTTTTCTCTGACCCTCCACTTTACCAAACATGATATCTTTCTCCAGCGACTGGTCCCTCCTGACAATATGTCCAAAGTATGAAAGATGAAGTCTGGCCATCCTGGCTTCCAAGGAGAATGCTGGTTGTACTTCTTCCAACACAGATCTATTTGTTCTTTTGGCAGTTCATGGTACTTTCAACATTCTCCTCTAACACCATAACTCAAATGCATCAATTCTTCTACGGTCTTCTTTATTCGTTATCCAACTTTTGCATGCATATGAGGTTATTGAGAATACCATGGCTTGTGTCAGATGCACCTTAGTCCTTATGCTGACATTTTTGCTCTTCAAGCTTTAAAGAGGTCTTGTGCAGCAGATTTGGCCAATGCAATATGACATTTAATTTCTTGACTGCTGTTTCCATGAGTGCTTCCAGCTGCTTCCTGCTCTTGTTGTTATGTGCCGTGGAGTTGGCTCCGACCCATAGCGACCCTGTACAGGGTCTCCGAGGCTGTAAATCTTTACGGGAGCAGAAAGCCTCATCTTTCTCCCATGGAACAGCTAGTAGTTTCGAACTGCTGACTGTGAGATTAGCAGCCCATTCGTAACCACTATGCTACCAGAGCTCCTTTTAGGGGAGGCCAAATAGAGTGGTCAAGCCCACAAGTCTCTGGAGCCAAAACTGTTCAAAACCCAGCTTTGACCCTCTCAATAGCTGTGGCCTCTTGAGCAAGTTGGTTAAGTGCTCTATGCCTTAGTTTCTCTTTCTGGAAAATGGGAGCAAAAAATGTTGCTGTATTCAATATCTACCACCACTCATCTGTCACTTTATCATACTGTGGTGGTTTTGGTGTTGCTGTGATTCTGGAAGCTATGCCATAGGTATTTTAAATAGCAGGGTCACCTATGATAGACAGGTTTCAGATGAGTTTACAGACCAAACCAGAAAAAAGAGTGATGAACTATTTTAGTCACTGAAATCCTTATGAATAGCAGTGGTATGCTGTCAGCTAGTATCAGGATATTGTCAGATATTTATTATTGTTATTAAGTGTCATCAAGTAGATTCTGACCCATAGTGATCCTATATAGGGTTTCCAAGGAGCAGCTAGTGAGCTTGAATGGCCGACCTTGCAGTTCAAACCAACTTTGCAGTCTAGCACATTAACCCACAGCGCCACACCAGGGCTCCATTGTCAGATATAGTGCCAGAAAATGAGCCCCTTAGGTAAGGCACTCAAAATATGACTAGGGAAGAGTTAACTCCTCAAAAATAGAGTTGACCATGATGATGCAAATGGAGTAAAGCTATTGAGACCTTTGTTTGTTAATGGGGCACAACTCAAAATGAAGAGAAACAGCTATAAACATTCATTAATAATCGGAACATGGAATGTATGAAATATGAATAAAGGAAAATTGGAATTTGTCAAAAATGAAATGGAATGCATGAACATCAATATCCTAAGCATTAGTGAGCTGAAATGGACTGGTATTACTCATTTTTAATTTGATCACTACATGGTTTACTATGCCAGGAATGACAAATTAAATAGGAATGGCATCACATTTATCTTCATAAAGAACATTTCAAGATCTATCTTGAAGCACAACACTGTCTATTATAGGACAATATCCATATACCTACAAGGAAGACCAGTCAATACAACTATTATGCAAATGTACGCACCAACCACTAAAGCCAGTAATGACGAGATTAAAGAATTCTACCAACTTCGTCAGTCTGAAATTGATCAAACATGACATCAAGATTTATTGATAATTACTGGTGATTGGAATGCAAAGGTTGGAAACAAAGAAGAAGGATCAGTAGTTGGAAAATATGGATTTGGCAATGGAAACCATGCTGGATATCAAATGATAGAATTTTGCAAGACCAATGACTTCTTCATTGCAAATACCATTTTTAAACAACATAAAAGATGACTATACACATAGACCTCATCAGATGGAATATACAGAAATCAAATTGATTACATCTGTGGAAAGAGATGGTGGAAAAGTTCTGTATCATTAGTCAAAGTAAGGCCAGGGGCAGTCTGTAGCTCATCAATTGCTTCTATGCAAGTTCTGGCTGACATGGAAGAAATGTAAAGCAAGTCCAAGACCTTGAACATATCATACCTAAATTTAGAGATCATGTTAAGAACAGATTTGATGAATTAGATCAGAAGAGTTGTGATGACATCAAGAATATAATACAGAAAGAAAGCAAAAGGTCAGTAAGAAGACAAGAAAGAGGAGAATAACCAAAATGGACGTCGGAAGAGACTGAAACTTGCTCTCCAGCATAGAGATGCTTAAGGTGAATGGAAGAAATGAGGAAGTAAAAGAGGTGAATAGAAAACTTCAAGGGCAGCTCGAGAAGACAAAGTCAAGTATTATAATGAAATGTGCAAAGACCTGGAGTTAGAAAACCAAAAGCTGAGAGAACTGAAGAAAAAAATTCAAGTCTCGACTAGAAATATTGAAGGATTCTATGGGCAAAATATGGAATGATACAGAAAGCATCAAAAGAAGATGGAAGGAATACACAGGTACCAAAATGGTCAGTGTTCAACCATTTCAAGAATGATATTATGCTGAGTGAAATTAGTCAGTCACAAAAGGAAAAATACTGCATAGGACCATTATTGTAAAAGACTAAGAAAAAGAACCCATACTAAAAGGGGGGTAAAGTTCTTTGCTGGTTACTGGGATGTGTGGGGTGAGGTAAGGAGAGGGAGGGGAAGGTGGAGCACAGGGTAAGGAATAGATACAGGATAGCTTGGGTGCTGGGGTGAGGGAGACAATACACAAGAAGGGGGAGGGGAATGGAAGAACAAGGTGGATGGGGGGTTAGGCAGGTTTGCATGGGCTAAGTGGAATAGAGGTAAATAATGGTGTATGCACAACCTTGGAACAACAGGGCTCTGGGATACATGGATTGAGGCATGATTTGAATGGGTAAAAGAGGGGAAATAATGTTAAAGATGCCTGGTTGTCTTTTGAATGTTGGTTTTCCTGGAACACCATTTTAAAATAGATACTTGAGGGGAGAGAAAGGAATAGCCAGAAATATCACCATAGAAAGTTTGTAAATCTGTCTTCTGCCTATAACTGATTGG